CTGTCACTTCACCGTGGTGCTGTGCAGTCATCCTTAATTCTCCCCGGGACCCCGTGATGCACCAGAGGAGGTGTGGGCTGGACATTAGGAAGGATTTGTTTGCTTCTATTCTATTCTATTCTATTCTATTCTATTCTATTCTATTCTATTCTATTCTATTCTATTCTATTCTATTCTATTCTATTCTATTCTATTCTATTCTATTCTATTCTATTCTATTCCATTCCTAAGGTCTTTGTTGATCCCAGAGGAGAACAGTGGGACAGGCAGGGCTCGTACAGGTCAGAGAGATCTGAGTTGCTTTAATTGAGACAGATCCCCACTTTCCAGCCCCCAGGGAGGAGTTCTCCACATCTGCCTCATCCATAAAGCATCCACAGGCAGGAGGGACATTCCCAGCAGGAGCTGCCCATATGGGAACAGTGGGGATTCCCTGCAGGTGACAATGGGACCTCTTTGCTGGAGCCAGGCTCTAATCAACCTCCTCCTCCGGGAGCCGGGATGGATTGTCAGGTCTTGCTGTCAGCTGCTGAGATCGGGACTTAAGCTGGGGGGACATCAGGTAAAATCTCCAATTATTTCAGCAGTTTACACAGGAAAATTTTACACATGAGGAGAAATCAGTGTTTCCTTGCCCCGTGTTTTGCTGTCGATCTCTCACCACATCCAACCTCTGCTCTCAGGGATGTCCAGATCAGACAACAGGGACAAACACAGGTGGAGCAGCGAGGAGCTGGAATGCAGCACACCTTCCTGAGAGGCAATGAAAATGCACTCACACAAATCCCTTTGCCATTTGTTTGGCAAATCCAACTCTGAGGCAAAACCAAAGCCAAACAGCTTTGTCTGCAAGAACAGAGCTTGGGTCATGAGCTGAAGATGTCAAGGAGAGGTTTGAGATCTGCCTCTGGGCAATTACTCACAGCTCTTTATCAATCTCTGGAGCTTTCATGGCCACTCAAGCTCACCTCAAACATAGGAAAGAGTTATCAGGTTATCTCAGCCCTGGGTGAGATTCTAGGGGAGAGGAGCTGTGCCATCCAAGATGATTCCAGCAGCAGGGAGAGTGGAAGTTAATTAATTTCTGTGCCTCTGGTTCCTCTTCCACATCATGGACTCCATTCAGGAGCCAGTCAGGCACAAATCCATGCAGAAGCTCAGCCCTGCTGAGGAGACCAAAGCATGTTTTGACCAAAAAACACATCAAGCATGAAGCAAAACTTCCCAACAACAAGAGGAGTTTGGAGGGTGTGTCCTGCAGTGAGAGATTTATGGAGTCCAGCCTGCCCAATGCAGCAGGGGTGGAGATGGAACTTGTTCATGGACTTCTCCAGACAGAGACCAGACACTCTGAGACACCTTAATCAAGGTAGCAGATGTGGAAAAGCACCTAAAAATGGAAGATGAAACACCACTAACAAAACAGAAGTGATGATCATGTGTGAGGAAGGGGGATTTGATTTTGTTCAGAGCAATGGGGACAGCAAAAATGGAAAAATTCACCAGGAAAGGCAAGAAAACCCCCAGCACTTCAGTCCAGCATTATTATATTTCAGTTATCCATTCATCATAAAAACCCCTCCAGACCTGGAGCCACCTGATTTATCAAGAAGCAAATAATATATTTTGAGGGACACTTTCAGCCTGGTTTTCCAGTCAGCATCCTGGATCCCTCCAAGGTGGGGACATGAAGAAGAACCAGAGAAGGATGGCTTTTTGGGCCACCAAAAGGTGACAGCACTGCAATGGTCTTCCAGGAACAGCTCACACTAAGAGAAGACTAATTAGACATTCATTAAGTGCCTAACTCAGCACAGCACTTAAGCACACATTTAACCTTCTCTCATTACAGGGTCACATCATCATCCCTGGTAAAGCTCCAGATCTGATTACAGAAGCCAGCTCACATTTGGGAGGGCCACCAGCATTTTCAGGCTGTGAAGAACCAATGCCCAGCATTTCAGGAGGTTCTCCCTTCTTCACCCTGCTGCGCTTGCACCCCAAACCTATTCCAGGAATGCCAACTTGCATCCTGAAAAAGTGAGTTTACATCTAAACATCCAGACCTACAAACCTCTGCCTTCTTCCCACATTTCCTGAATTAGCCAAGGGAGACCTGATAATGGCCAAAAATGGTTCCCATGTTGGAATTGTCTTCTCCTGTAAAAACATTCCCAGTTCAAGCTGCCCGAGATTTCAAAGCATGTCTTTCTGATCACCGTGACAAGCTCCATGTGCAGCAAGACCAAAATATCTGAGTGATAAAACCTGAGGGATTCTTCTGCAACTCACCCTCTGCAATGTCTGTGTGGGACAGTGAGTGCAAAGAGAGTCTCACTAAATGTGGGAAGCAAATTTGGAGCAGTTTCTCCTTCCTCCAGACACCGAGGAACAGATGCTGTGCATAAGACAGGGTCACTCTGGCAGAGTTTCTTTGTGAAGTCTGTCAATAAATGATCATAAATTTCCCTGTGCACCTGAGCCAGGTGTAAAATCACTGACCATGAGTGAAAGCAGGCTGTCAGTTATGTTTTCTCGAGAGTCCCTGTAGTTCTGGAGCAACGGGATCTTCTTGGAGTGAAGCTTTTTCACAGGGATCTCACCCACAGACCACGAGCCAATCTCATCTCATTGTAGATTTGCACCCATCCATTTGCTTTGGGCACGCCCAAGGAATAAAAATGCACATTAGGGAAAGTCAGGTTTCGTATTTCAGGATGGTTTGAGTTGGAAGAGACCTCAAAGACCATCTCATTCCAACCCCCTGCCATGGGCAGGGAACCTTCCACATTCCTTCTTGTGCCTTTAAAGTCATCAGAGTAGATTAGTACAACTCACACATCTCCACTTGTTCCAAGACGAAAGTGTTAAGACAGGCCCAGAAACAACAAATGACTCAGAAAGCAGCAGGGAGGGAAAAATAGCAATGATAATAAAAAAATAAAAAAAATAAAAAAAGCTTGTTGGGAAAAAAGATGCTACAAATACAATCAGAACAGCAATGATTGCAATAACCAGCATCAGCACTTGGAAATCAGGAACCCTATCAAAATATTCCACCCACAAAACGCTGTTAAGGGACTGCTGACTCCCTGTCCAAATTGGATCTCGCCTCCATCTTCCTGATCAAGCCTTTGCATAAATCAAAACAGACACAGTGACAGACAGAGCAGCACATGGAGAGCCCGGGCACCCTGCAAGCATCGTTTCTTTGTGGATGGCATCCCACCAGCCAAGATGATAATTCCCTGTCTTCAGTAGGGAGCAGATGTGAGCAGCCAGCAGAAAAATTATCTCCACTCTACAAATATTTGACACCCAAAAAGGATTTTGATTCAGCCACCCTTGAGCCTCTTTCATATTTACTTTGTGGGAACATTCAGGCACTCGAGCTGGACTAGGAGAGATCCCTACAAAAGCCAATATTAAGCTTGAATGCTTCAGGATTTGCTGAAAATCTTATTTCAAATTTCACCTTTGGTTGCAGTGAGAAAGGTCACACTGCTTGGGTGGAATGCATAAATCACCCAATCAGCAAATTCCAGGCATGACATATGACTGAACTCCGAGGAGGCTCCTCAGGAGCTGTTCACACAGGAGAAAAGGGCATTGCAAGAAAAAAAAAAAATATTAAAGAAACAACCCAAATCTGGAGAGTCTTGTGCTCGTGGCCAGGGAGGGAAGCACGACTGAAGAACTAATTTGCAGGATTTATGGCTCGGCTGTGCCTTCATGTATTGATTCACAGATCAGTGAGAAACAAAATCTCCCCCAAAATACACTGAGGAAAGCACGAGTACCTGATCGTATCCTAATCTCTCAGCTAATGCCAGGCTGCAGGAAAATCACTCTGCTCTGCCTGAATCTGTGCCTAGTCACCTCCTTCCTACTGCAAAAACAAATTTGGCCTCTTCCCCACAACCCTGAGAAACTCCACCCTCAACAGGGGTGAAAAACTCAGGCAGGGTCCCCAAATTCCTGACCCAGACAGATGTCAGCTTTCTGCTAGCGGCAGAGGACATTTCAGCCCAGCACCTGAGGAAGATGAGACCTTGGGGTGGGGGTCAGGTGAGGGTCTGAGACTCACTGAACTGCAGCCTCCATTCCCTGCCACCTGCGTTCCTATTTAGCATCACCCCTCAGCTTTACATCACCTGCGTGCTGGGGTGGGAGCTGAGAACAAACAGCCCGGAGCAGACCTGACACAGGTAGCGAGAAAAAGGCTTCACTTTCGGACCCCCCCGAGTCCCTCCTGCTTGCCAAGGCTGTGTCAGGTCTCTGGAAAGGAGCATTTTCCTCCCCACAACAAAATCAGACTTGAGGATCACCCCACCTTGACTCACAGCCCTTTTCACCGTGCCTCTCCCACCTCCCCTGTCCCTTTCCAGCCCACACCATACTCAAGACCACAATCAAAACCCAGTGAAATAAATGAGGAATGAGCCCCAGCAAAGGCACCAAGTAACCCCATGGAAGCAGCGTGGCGAATTTTCTCTCTGAAAGCCTCCAGAAGGAAAACGAAGCTGAGAACAAAACCAGAGCTTCTTCTGTTGCCATCCCCTTGAACCAGGCCCAAGAATTAAGTTTTCCCTAGGAATTAAAAGCGGTTGATAGGGCTGGTGAGAGCAGCCCGCCTCGGGAGGTATCTTGGATGCTGCTTTTTCTAGGACATCTGTAATTATGTTGGAAAACTGCTCACCCTCAGGTAAGAAGTTCCCTCTCAGCAGCTCGGAGGCTGCAGGAGTACAACAAGCAATGAACGAGCCCCGAGAATGAACGCAACAACTCGGGGAATATTTAGGGGCAGCTGATTTGCGATTCCAGTCGCAGGCTCACGAAGAGCGGGTTACCTGAGCTGCCTGTCGATTGGGAAATGAGGTTTTTCATGCCAGGCATCCACAGATACGGACACAGAGGTGACGGGGACAGCGTGCGACCCCGTGAGAGGAGAGCCCAACCAGCCCTCCCTCCTCAGCACCCCCCGACCACCCTCCACTCACCCAGGAACTCCGCTCCGTTGCTGTCCTTGGGGCTGCTCACGCAGTTCTCCAAGTAAATCCCATCCTTGTAGCAATCCTCCTTCTTCCTGGTGAAGCCCAGGATCTCGCTGGCCTGATCCAGGACCTCCCCTCCCGAGCAGGAGCACGGGGTCTGCATGATGCCACACGGGTGGGAGCTGCTGCTGATGGCCAGGCAGGCGTCCAGCCACTTGCAGAGCATCTGGCAGGCGGCTTTGCTCGGGTTCCTGTTGCCCACCACCAGATACTCCACCGAGAAGTCCCTCTCCTGAGCCTTGGTGGGCTTCCACCGCATGGGCCAGGTGTCCACGCCCGGTGGGGCCGTCTGCTTCATCTGCAGGAATTGTTTGTTGGACTGGAGGAAGGCAAAGCGGGTGGAGCCATCGCAGAGCTTCAAGACATCGTCGAAGCTCTCCATGCCCAGGTAGGTGCGGGTGGACTCCAGGAAGGAGTCGAACTGGTAGGTGCGGATGTGCTGGTGGTCACATACGCCGGAGGGTTTGAGGATCTTCATGTACAAAGTGTACCTGCGAGGGTCGGGGTTCTGGATAATCCAAGAGCAGAGAGAGGAGTTCAACGGGAAGACGGCGAAGGAGGAGAAATACCCAAAGAATTTCCCTTGGACCAAAGTGGTGCAGGGAGTTTGTGCCAGGTCCAGAGCGACCACGGTCCACACAAAGTAGAGTGGCGATACCAAAAGCAGGTTCAGGGCGGATCCAATGCTCCTCATCCTAGGTCTCTGGTCCTCTGGAACTCAAAGTAAATGTCAAGCAGGTGCCAGATCCTGGACATAACAGGGACCAGCTTAGAGGAAAAGCAGAGTTTAAGAGGCTCTGGATCTGAAATCAAGCCGATCCTCCCATGTCTGGATTTGAGCTCCCTCCTGTGGCCATAAACAAAACCTGGAAAAAACCAGGGAAGGGAAGGGAAGGAGGAGGGGAGAGAAAGAGAAGAGATTTGGGATTTGGCGGTACTTTGTTGATGTTGTTTGATTTATTAACCCTTCACACGGCTGAGAACCCACACAGCAGCCCCAGTCCCAGCCCTTCTCACGGGGGGAAGATGCAACCCCACATCACCATCCCCAAGCTTGCTTTGGGGGGTGTCCAAACCCAGGAGGGGCCCAAAACTATGACTAACCCGGGGGTGAACCCGCCTTCCTTCTCAGTGCCCCCTGCCCATGCAGACCCCTCTGCTGAGCCGAGCCTTGACTGTGAATTTGAACCATCTCCCCAAATAAAACAGGAGGGGTATCTGGCTTAGGGAGCCTCCAGCTCTCTCCATCCCAAGGGAACCAGGATGCTGGTTCAACACAGACTTCAGGCTGCACCTGGGGAGCGTGGGCTGGAGGTCAGCATGGCCAGCTGGGCTCTGCCTCCTCTCTTCCTTCTGCCAGCACTTGTTTTTTAGCCTTTTCTCCCTCCCTTCCACCAAAACAGCGCAGGGAAGGGAGTTGTTGCTCAGGAACCCAGCTCTGGTGTAACCCTGTGGCCAGACAGGATAATGGACGGAGCTGCACACCCAGTACAGGAGCAGAAAAGGACAAGAGACAGATTTTATGACTTCCCACCTCAGCATCCACCTCTCCTTTCAGTCTTGAGTGCAGAACACCCCAAAGCCTGGGGTGCTGTAGCCAGGCTCAGAGCATCTGCAGAGAGTGGGAGCTCTCTGTGCCAGTCCCAGGACCTCCTTCAGCCCCCAAAAATCCTTCATCCAAAGTAGAATCCACCCCGCAATGCCCTAAGGATACATTCCCTGCAACTTCTCTGGCAGAGATTCCTCCTTTGGCCCAGCTGCCCAGACCCCTGCTCTCCCACCATGACAAAGAGGCTCCTCTGTGCTCGTGTAAATCTCCCCCTTTCTTACCCCAAAAAAAGACTCTCCTATGGTTCCTTCCCTCCATCTCCTCTCTTTCCAGGAGAGAAGGGGAAATAAGATCACTAGTAGGACTTTCCTTATCTTGTATTCCCTCCCACAGCTGTCCACCCCCAGATCTGGGGAGGGGCTCTGTTAGCAGCTGCAGGAGGGGCAGCCCCTCGGGATCTGGGGCAGGACTTCTTCACAGCCACGGTACCTTTTCCCTCCCGCCTTTCCAGCTTTTCTTCCCCTCTCAGCTCATCCCAGGTGGAGAAAAATCAGGCGTTTCCCCTTGGGTGAGGCTCATCCTGGCCCTGCAGCACTTTCAGCCTCCGAAACAGATCTTCCGTCCCATTTCCAAAGGACAAAGGGGAACCTGGGAGGAAGATTTCCCCCTGTCAAGTCAGACAACTGCCACCATTTCGGGAGACTTCGCACTTCATAGGCTCAGGGGCTCTGCATTGAAATGCAAACATCCCAATTCCCGAGGGGCAAACATTGCCCTGGGCTGCCAACCTCCAAATAATTCAGATCATCTGGGATGTGTTTCCCACGATCTGGGTGGCACTGCCAGGAAGGAATTAGGGTGAGAGACTATGGAGAGGCACACCTGCATGCAGGGAGGAGGGAAAACTCGTTTTCATTGCGGGCACTGCTGCAGCTCCAGCCCCACATGTCCCCAGGTGCTGTCCCAGTGCTGCCATCTCCCAGCCCTTGCCAGGCTCTGCCTTCCCAGGCTGCAAACAGAGGGAGCTTCCAGCACAGCCGTACGAATTCCCAGCGAATTCCCAGCAAATTCCCAGCAAATCCAGTTCGGGAAGCTAAACCCAGCCCCAGGAGAGACTGGAAAGCAAGAGATGAGAAGCCCACTGACCATCCTGTGCATATGGGAAGAGGTAAGAAGCTAAATGCACCTCCACATCCACTCAGTTTCTCTCCCTGCTCTATATCAAAGGCTTGTCTCTGCATCTCCCTTCTTCTGCCAAAATCTTTTCTTTTGGGCAGGAAAGGGTTAGGGAACTCGAAACTCAGACCTGCTATTTTGCAAACCGTGCTTCATCCCAGCTTCAAATCACTGCACCAGATTCCTGAGTGTGTGTTAGACCTGACACTAATCAGCATGAAGTCCAAATGCATTTGGACTTAAATTTTTTACAAGTCAGATCCCCACTCCTGGCTGGTTTGCAGTCTACAAAGCTCGACAGTGCAAACCTCCCCTTGCCAGGCTCCTGCCTGCCTCTGGGGCCAGAATTCGGGAGTGAAGAGGGGATGGAAACCTGGTCTTGCTTGGAAGCAACAAGCATCTACCAAACATCTTTAATACCAAATTAAATTTCCTGATTAGCAGGAGGGGTTGTCTAAATAGGACTGTGAAGTCTTTAAATATCAGACTGGGGAGCTGAAAGGCTCTTGCTTTATCTGAGACTCTGAAAGGGGCCACTGGCTCTCTTAGGGCAGTGCAGGAAAAGCTCATTCTGTTTGCAAATCCGACCTCTACCCGACCTTCACCCTGATGAGCCAGCCAGGGATCACAGAATTATGGAATATATTGAGTTAGAAGGGACCCACAAGGATCACAGAGCAGGTTGGGTTGGAGGGGACCTTAAAGATGATTTTGTCCAACTCTCTCTCATGGGCAGGGACACCTTCCACTATCCCAGCTTGCTCCAAGCCCCATCCAGCCTGGCCTTGAACATTTCCAGGGATGGGGAATCCAGAATCAGCCTGTGCAGGGTGTCCCCACCCTCTTGAGTAAAGAATTTCTTCCCAATATCCACTCTAAACCTGCCCTCTGTCAGGGGGAGGCCAATCCCCCTCGTCTTGTCACTCCATGCTCTTGGTAAATAGTATCTCTGTCTTTCTTGTCATCTTAACCTCTGGTCCAGACCAGAAACCTGCCTTTCCTGGTTGGAAGCAGGAGCCAGCAGTGCCTCCATAGCAACCAGATGATGAGGAGACAGGGTTTGTTTTGAAATCCAGTCCCTAATGGTGACTTCAGTGCCTGGGATTCAGCCCAGGCCTCCTGCTCTCCACAAACTCAATTTTTCTCACGCTGACCACAGACCTGCTTCTGTCTGAGGATGTGGTGAGCACAAAAAAAATTCCCCCTCACTGCCCATGTCTGGGAAAAGCACCATAAAATCCAACAAACTTTAACCAGACCTGATACGGTTGTTAGGTCTCACAATTGATTTCCCCTCAGTGCAGTCCCATCTGGAAGTTTCCACCATAAGGAGCATAAACATATTCTTTTTTTCCTCTTTCAGCTAATCCCTGCTGAAGTGGGAATCTTTACTCAGAGCAGGAGTGGATGTGCAAAGGCCCCTCCAGACCTGGATCTTTGGCTCAACAGGTGTTGGACCTGGCAGGGAGGGAAGATGCAACAGGCACCTGTGATGCACGTCAGCAGAGATCCATCTCCTTCAATTCCACCCCAGAACAACCCCAAGGGGCGCTTACAACCACAGGCTACAGCCTGCAGCTGGGGCAGTGATGTTAAATGAGTGAGAAAACAGGTCATTGCAGTGTTGGAAGTCACATTTCCATGGCACACAGTCAAATTTACCCCCATTCCCTTGGCTTTCCCCACTGTCAGTGTCTAGGTAGCCTGGCTGTTTCGGGAATTTTGAGTGATGGGAGACATCCCTGCCTGGTGCCATCCTTTGGCTCCAACTTGGAGCACACAACACCTCCCCTGACCTTTCCTTCCATCTCTGCCTGGGTGATGGGTCTGGCAGAACAAAGCCTGGGGACAGCTGGTGACATTGGAGCACCTTGGGCTGTCCTCTGCCTGCGTTTCTCAAGGACAAGCCAAAATATTGTTGCTTTCATGTGTGTGTGTCCCTGGAAAAAATAGTTTTTCATTCAGAAAAAACCACAGAAAAAGGCTGAAAAGTTTGGTCTGAATTTTCCTTCTGCCCTGGTTACCTTGTGCAGGTGTCAGGGGTGACAAAGGAGGGGATTATGAAGAGCTGTGAACCTCCAGCCAGGCTCCTGCACCCTCACACAACGGGGCACAGCCCTGGCAATTTATTCTACCTCCTTGCTGAGCTTTTCCCATCCCACTCTGGCATCCACTGGATCAGAAATCCACTGGGACAGACCTTCACAGCTCAAATCAAAACCACAGGTTACACCTGGGCTGCCCAGGGGGTTTAGGCTTCCAATTTGCGCTGGCCCCTGTGAATTTTGGAGCCCAAGGGGTTTAGGCATCCAGTTTACACTGGTTCCAGGGAATTCTGGAGCTCAAGAAGTTTAGTATCCAGTTTTCACTGGTCCTAGGGAATTCTGGAGCCTGCAAGCCTTAGAATAATCTAATTATTAAGGTTGGTAGAGATCTCCAAGGCCACCAAGTCTAAGCTTTGGCCACACACCACCATGGTGGGCCCTGTCTTCCTGCAGGAATGATCCAGATCTGAGGCTGGATTTTGTCACCACCCTCGTGTTCCTGCTTGATTCCTGCACGAATTCTGCACCCCCAGAGCCATCCTGGGGAGTTCAGGCAGTGTGGGATGTGTGAGCAGGGATCAGGGCACCCCTGACTGTACCCACAGCAGCCTTCACCCTCTGCCTGAATGGCCCCACACCTGATTCACCCCATCCCACCAAGGTGGACACCTCCAAACTGCCCAGTTCTGCAGCTGTGCCCAGCCCAGAGATTTCAGCTCTGCCTGGGCAGGAGGAGCCTGCAGGATTCTGGCAGTGCTGCCACATCCTGCTCTCCAAAGTCCTTGCATGGCACAGTCCTCCCACGAGGGAAGGGTGACATCCCTGGTGGAGCATCCCTGTGCTGGTGACATCCTGGAGCAGCAGCCTGGATGTGGCCAATGGAGGGCACTCTTAGACATGCACACAAACCCACAGGCACACAAACACTCCATGGGAGGAAAAAAAAAGGGGGGGTGGAAAGAAAAAAATAAGGATGACTGCAGAAAGGGCATCCTTCCCCACTGCTGCCTGCAGGACCATTCCCAGCACTCTCTCCCTGATCTGTTCCCACCAGTTCAGCACTTCCAGCTGCCCCTTCTCTGTCCACTGGCTCCAG